GCTCAGGCAATCCACTCACCTCAGCCTCCCAAAGGCACGGGATTACAGGCTGAGCCATCATTATATTGTAGGTAAGAACTATGTAATATAGTAGAAAGTACAATGGACTATGGGAGCAGTGTTAGAAGTGAACTCTCTGTCTCTGAGTGTCAGTATCCTTGTAGCTAACACATAATTTCTAAGTCCCTTGCAGATCTAATAACTAGAATTCTAAGTACTAAAAATTCTTTGCTTTGTACAAGAGACTGTAGGAAATAAAAATGTAAATTATATAGGTCCTGACCTAGAGAACTTACATCTAAAAAATAATAATACAATAGATGTATAAAAACCTAACCAAAGGAAAAAAAAAACAGCAGCATATATTTATGAATGTTTATGCGATGTTTTAGAAAGCAATTCAGGCAGACCAGGACAGAAAATAATCAAAAGCTGCAACATATGGTACTCAAAAAAAAAAAAAAAGGCCACCATTCAATGAGTACGCATATGTAGTTTACAGGTGTTTCTTATTAATACTTATATGACTACATGGGGTGGGTACTATCATTATCTGCATTCTTTTTTGGGGGGGGGTGGAGTCTCACTCTGTTGCCCAGGCTAGAGCGCAGTGGCACGCATGCTCACGGTCACTCCAGTGTCAAGCTGCTGGGCTCCGCAAGTCCTTCCACCTTGGCCTTACAAGTAGCCAGAACTACAGATGCGCGCTACCACGCCCGGCTAATTTTTTATTTTATTGTAGAGATGAAGTCTCCCCAAGTTGCCCAGGCTGGTCTCAAACCCACAGCCTCAGGCAATCCACTCGCCTAGGCCTCCCAAAGTGCTGGGATTACAGGATGAGCCACTGAGTCCGGCCCATTATCTGCATTCTTAAATGAGCGAATTGGTGGAAACAGTTCAAATGGATTGCCCAATGCTACCTGGGTTGTAACTGCAGCAGCTAGGACACTCACCGAGGCAATCTTGTGGTATCCTAGTACTTAGTTACTAAACTTTACAGGCTCTCATAGAGTTTGTAGGATTTCAGAGATTTCTGTATGCAGAAGAAGAGAGAACTTTACAGAAGGGGTAACATTTGTGAAAGGTTTAATTAGAAAGGAAATGGTAAGATAAATTATCTTGTTCTCCAACAGCAATTTTTGGAGATTAAAAAAAATCGTTGACCCTATTAACATCTCTGGGCCTCCCTTTCTATTTTTTGAGAATGTTCTTTATTGGCTGGGAAATTCTTCCAAGTATCTTCTCTTATTCTGCATCAAGGCTGGTCATGTTTAAAAAGAACAGTGCCTTCTCCTTCCAATATGAATAAATGTGCATTTTCTCATGAATGAATTAAAATACTACCATGACTTCAAAAGTAAGACACTAAGTCTGAGATCATGTCTACTATCTATCCGAAGCAAATTCCTCCTGTACAGTGAATTAGAAAAATAACTTTTAAAAGTTAAAAATGGTTGCTTTTTGTTATTGTTGTTGTTTTTTAATTTTCCATACAGAACCCTCCCACTTAACTGAAAGGCTCTGAGGTGAATTCTAAGTATATTGATTTGGTAAAGAAATCTGACTCTGGCTCAGAGTGCTATTATTGTCTTTTTTGAGTGATCAGTTTCCTCCTTTCACTTGTAAACCTCTGGGTTTTCAGATTTTAAATTTTTTCACAGAACAATAACTTTTGTTTGTCTTGTAAAGTTTCCACTTTGATTTCTAAAGCCTACCAGAAAGCTGTTTAAAATTAGACCTGCTGACATTGTAGATCATGGTGAATGTTAAAAAAACATAAGCGTCATAAAAGGTTTGAACATATTTGTCCTACTACAGCAACACACGGCAAATACTCCTGAAGGCAACATCAGCACAGATTGTAAGTTCTCCAGCAACAACTCTAGGGGGCCCCATTCACAGGACATTCTGTGACATGAGGCTTCCTGAAGGCATGCACCACAGTGGTTCCTGTATGTTGTGTTAAGATGTAGCACCTTGGACAGGTGTGGTGGCTCAAGCCGGTAATCTCAGCACTTTGGGAGGTGGAGATGAGAGGACTGCCTGAGCTCAGGGGTACGAAACCAGCCTAAGCAACATGGCGAGACCTCGTCTCTACAATAAATCAAAAATTAGCCAGGTATGGTGGCGCATACCTGTGGTTCCAGCCACCTGGAAGGCTGAAGCGGAAGGATCGCCTGGGCCCAGCAGGTCAAGGATGCGGTGGCCATGAACAGCGTGCCACTGCACTCCAGCCTGACTCCGACTCAAAAAAATAAAAGATGTAAAACCTTTCATTAAAATATATTATAGGTAAGCAAAACAAATCTGTCACCCTGGTCTTTTGACCTACATTTTCAGTTCATATGGTTCTTAATACCAGTTGTATCAAATAAGCCAGTGGAAAAAAAAATGACTTTGTGGCCACATGATATAAAAGAGAACCAGAAAATGGAAGCTTGTGTATCTCATCTCTGCATTTTTATTTAGTGTTAGTTCATATGCCAATCTGACTCAATTTTTGTATCACAAATGATTCATCTAAAACTCTGTATAATATTTTTCCATTGTCTTTTCCAATTGTTGTAGGTTTCCTTGTGAATTCCTTTGCAAATAACAGGATACCAATATTCTTAAACTAGACACTGTAAACTGAAATGGTAATAGCAGATTCTTGGCATGTAATATTGTTTTAAAAAATTACAGTACAGTTATATAGACCCACAGTGTCCTTTTCTCTAAGATTTAACACAAATTATAAATAAGTTTTGTTTCATAAACAGAGCAAAATTTTAAAGTATATCATATTCTGTTCTCATCAGTAGCACATATGTGTATGTTTTTTAAAGAGAAAGTTCAATATTACGTACAATACTCGGGAAAAACACTGTATGGTTGTGAGAAAGAGAGAAAAACTGAAAGGGCTTGAACACTCTTTGAAGTTTTTCTTTTTTCCACATATTCTCACTATTTCTGAGACTTAATATATCAAAAGGTAACTAGCTTGATTTAAAAGTTAACAGCAAATGCAAAATAGAATACGTTTATAATAGTGATACTTTTTGGTCAAAACCTTTTAAGGTACTGTACTAGAAAATAAAATTAATTCTAATAACTATGATAAAAATTTAACTCTGTCTTTATAATTCTAAATTTTGAGGGGGTAAAGTAACATTCCAATTCCATTCACTTATTCATTATTCATTCATTCATTCTCTCAACAAGTATTTATTGAGCAAATGCCCATGGTGTAAGCAGTGCTATCAAAGCCAAATACCATTAATAGCTCTTGAAAATAACTCTATAGACATAAAAGTGCTATTACTCACATGTCTCCTGCAAGTTATCAAATTCTTCACTTTTCCTTCAGTTTGTAAAGAGTACTTTCAATATATTTTTATTTGATAAAAACAATTAGTGCATTCTATTTTATTCTTTACATGCTAATTAGTGGAAAGTTACAAATAAGAATAAATAAGTTATCATGTCATTGTCAGTCATATTTGTGACTTGTGATGTATGACCAAGAGGTCACAGGCAAGGACAGGAAAGAGAGATGGAGAACAGACAAAGCTAGACATGAAAGTTACATCAACCAATAGCTATCAGGAAATTACATAGGCAGTGACATTTAGACCGCCAATATTTTCTTCATCACTATGTTACCTGTCTGGTTGAATGACCAATAAAATGTAAAAAAAAAAAAAGAGAGAGAGAAGTTTTGATGACTGGGCGTGTGCAATCTAAAATAGACGATGGTTTACAAAAGCATTTCAGGGATCTACATAAAGGAGATTATAAAGAATGACAACACCAACCAACAAGAAGGGAACAGTGGCACGATAAATAAAGTTTTAAGAGTTACATATGTAGGAGAAATAGTGATCGTGGCTCATTGTACCTAATTGGTAAGAGAAGGTTTTCCTGAGGGAGATGTGATTTCAGAACTGCTTAATGGGCATGCTAGATTGCACATTTTTTGGAAACATTATAGCATACCAGAGGAAGCTTCAGACAAAATGGGTTCTAGCAGCAACTGTGATACTAATTTAGTTAAGTAATTCAACCTCTCAAATCCCCAGTTTTTTCACTTATAACAGCATTAATAGTTATCTCATAGGGTTGTTATGTAAATGAAACAAAGTAAGGTTTTTAACTAAGTGCCTTGTGGATCATAATAACTCCATACATGCTGTGTTTTATATCTTAACAAGACTTTATCCAG